AACCAGCAGGCACGCACACACACAGACTTGGGACCACAGCAGAATGCGGGAATCACAGCAAGGCATTCATTCCAGTGACAAATCCCAGAAATCAGCAGTGTTCTCAATCTGTGTTTTTGCCGGGTCATTACACTACCCCCCTCTCAAGAGCGAGGTCCCTTCGAGCGGGTAACTCAGTCAGAGTTGGCACAAAATGCGTCGTAGGAGTACATCAGAAAGAGAGACTTAGTAAGTCCGTGAGGAGTCATTTTTGCAACGAACTTAGCAGTCTGTCCCTCAGTTATCTTTCGTTCGTAAGCGTTCACGACATGGGGAGCATTTTTTAGCAGCTCTTTGCGGTCGATCCAGAAGAATTCAGTCAACGGGTGATAGAGGAAGTAAACCTTGTACTCTATGTTCCTCCCTCTTCCCTCGTGAGAAACAATTCGGTCTATCTCATGGCCGCCGTCGATAGAGCGAGGTATCATAGGGTCTCGATAGGGAAACGTCTCATCATCAATGTGTAGGAATAGTTTAGACGCATGAAAAACCGGATACGTGTGCAGATGAGGAGGCACGTCGACCACAAATGAAAGACCAAAATCATCCCCAATCACCTGCAGAATTTGCCAAGGGCCATAGTACAATGGAAGAAGCTTTCGTGATACGCCCTCTTCATCAGAAAACTCAGACATTTTAACCCAAACATAATCCCCTACTTTGAATTTTTCTTCTTTGCGCAGCTTGTTAGCATGTTTGATCATGGCATGCTGACGCTTGTTCATGGCTGCGATAACAGCTTTGAGCAAGCGTGCGTACTTGGCATTGTAGCCAGGCATGCCGGGCATCAGACCAGGTGACCGTTCGGGGAACAGATAGGAGAGGGGATTGCGCATTGGCCATCCGTATTGCAACGGGTTTGGTGTCACACCAGTTGCAGAGTGAATGGAGTTGTTGTACAGCCCCTTCACTTTGTGCAACTCCTTGTCCCATGTGTTCTGATCTGGAACAATCAGCGTGCGAAGTAGTTGGATGACAGTCTGGTTGATCTCCTCAGCCAATCCATTGGCTTCGGGGTGTTGACCAGAAGTCCTGTTCAGTTTTATGTCGTAGATCTGAGACGTGAAGTCCCTCCAATCTTTATTGATGAATCGGGTGTCCCGGTCGCTCACAATGGTTTTCGGTTGGCCGTACTGCAGAATATACTGCTGATGAAATTCTTCGATGACAAGCTCGGTTGGTGCATGGGGAGGGAAAGGAATCAGATTCAGAAATTTGGAGAAACGATCCACTATGACCATGACCTGTGAATTCCCTGCTTCACTCACCTTTCCCATGTCCGTGAAGTTGATGGAAATCGACTCACCGGGTCCATCAGGAATGGGGAGAGGTCTCAGTAGGCCATAACGCTTATGCCTGTGGACCTTGGTTCTTTGACATACCTGACATTCAACAATAAATTTATGAGCAGATCCTTTCATTCCTGGCCAATCAAATTGCTGCAGAAGACTTCCATAAGTCTTCTCAAAACCGAAATGTCCACTCCGACCATGTGCCAGATCCAAGAAATGAGTTCGGAGAGGCGCATGGTTGGGTATACACAAACAATCAAATTTCCCATACTGGCGGAATACAAGACCCTCGCATTCATGGAAATCAGGCTGACTGTTAGGGTCAGCCTTGAGTTGCTCAAGGATGGGACTAAGGTCCGAATCTTTGGCGGTGTGTTCGACCAGATCCTCCTTCAATTTCCTTCGGAGGTCGTACGAACCCACCAGGCAAGTCAAGAATTCAGGATGGCGGGACAATGCATCAGCAACCCGGTTATAACAGCCTTTCTTATGTTTCAACTCAAAATCATACACATCAATGTCTTGCAACCAGCGGGTCAGCGTTGGAGAGAGATCAGTTTGTGTCTTAATCCACTGCAAGGTCTGATGATCTGAGTAGACCTTGAAGTGACGACCGAAGAGGTAGTGCTTCCAATGTGTGAGCGCCTCGTGCAGGGCGTAGAGCTCACGCATGTATATGGAGGTAGCTACCTTGCGGCTGGGCATGCGTTTGCTGTAGTATTCGAGCGGACACAGACCATCACCATCATCTTGTTGCAGCACTGCACCAATCCCAAACTGGCTCGCGTTCGTAGTGACTACGAATGTGAGGTTGGGATCCGCAATGCGGAGCACAGGATGACTCACCAATGCCTCTTTCAAGGCTTGGAACGCAGTCTCACACTTCTCACACCATGCATAGGCAATATTCTTGCTGGTTAGTCTTGAGAGAGGGTGAGCAATGACAAAGAATTTGGGCACAAACTTCCGGTAATACGAGGCCAAACCAAGGAAAGAACGCAATTCGCGTACGTTCGCTGGTTGAGGCCACTCTCGGATGACCTCAACCTTGGTTGCCTCCGGCTCAAGGCCGTTTGCAGACAATCGGTGCCCAAGATAGATGACGCTGTCCCTTCCAAACTCAGATTTCTCCAAGTTGAGGTGCAGTTGCGCCTCCTTGAGGACCTGCAAAACTTCCTCAAGGTGTTTGACGTGCTCCTCCATGGACCAGTTGAAGATCAGGATGTCGTCGAGGTACACAACCACAAACCTGTTGAGTTGATGGCGAAGTACCTTGTCCATGAGGCACTGAGATGTGGTCGGTGCATTCGTGAGACCGAAGGGCATAACGATGAACTCGTACAGCCCGTCGCGTGTCTTGAATGTCGTCTTGTGCTGGTCACTCGGATCAACTTCAATTTGGTGGTAACCAGATTTG